TCAATAAACAACAAACTCTTCTTAGTAAAGAAAATCAACAACCCAATTTTTAAAAAATAGGCAAAAATCTTGATAGCATGACACAAAAAAATGCATTAATATCTAGGAAGCAAAAAAAATGCTGCCTATGCATAGTCATCAAAGATATGCAAATAGAAAGTACAAAGAAATATTACTATACAACTACTAGAACAGTAAGAAAAGACAGCACCAAGAACCAGGAGCATTTTCTTTGGGAATGCAGGGACACAATCACTCCCGAAAGCAGAAGCTTCTTGTAGTTACATAAGTATTCCCACATGGTCCAGTAATCCTGCTCTTAGACAGTAACACAAGTAAATAAAAATCTGTGCTTGTATGCAAATGTTTATAGCAATTTTACTTATAAAAGTTGATTAACTAATAAACTGCAATATATTCACACAAAAGTGTCCTACTGAAGAATAAAAACAACTACTGAACAGGTATGACAACATGGGTGAATTGCAAATGAATTACACTAGTGAAAAAGCCAGATTCAGTGGGTACAAAACTTTTTATTCCATTAATATGACATTTTGGAAAAAGGCAAACTATGAGGACAGAAAACAGACCTTGGGTTTCCAATGACAAGGGGAAGAACTGGGGAAAAGTGGCATAAGGAAATGCCTTGTGACACACTGACACGGTAATTATCCAACTGTATGTATGTGTCAAACTGAGCAGTAGGGCCCGTACTGTAGCACAGTGAGTTAAGTCATCATCTGCAACACCAGCATCCTCTATGGATGCTAGTTTGAATCCCAACTGCCTCACTCCTGATCCAGCTCTTTTGTGATATGCTTGGCAAGGCACCCTTAGTAAGACAGTCCAAGTGCTTGGGCTCCTGCCTGCCACCCACATGGGAAATCTGAAAGACGATCCTGGCTCCTGGATATGGTCCAACCCATGCCTATCCCCAGGATACTGCTGCCATTTGGGGAGTAACTCAGTGGATGGAGGATCTCTAGCTCTCTAGCTCACTCTCTCTCTTTCTCCGTAACCCTGCTTTTCAAATAAATAAAACAAATCTTTAAAAAAACTGAGCACTACACACTAAAATGGTGATTTTACTGTAAACTATACTTCATGTTGTAGAAATCCAAAAAAAGTGAACTACTTACCATGCAAAAAACCATAAATGCATTTCACAAATAAAATATTATCAAAAATTAAGCAAAACATAGTGTCTAAGAATACAGATTTGGGAATCAAACTAATCTTAGGAGCAAGGAAACACGAGACTGGAAAAGGGCATAAGGATGTGCAGCATCTAGCATCCCAGCATTGTTCTACTGCTTTTTCTGGTAGAAACAATGAATATTTGTTGTGATAATGCATTTCTTTATACTACACTATAATTTATCACATAATTTTATGCAATTTATATTTTATATTCTTTTCTGTAGGTGTGATAGGAAAATGGCTAATTTTCAAAAAAGCAAGGCAAGGAGCTCAGGATAAATGACTAAGAAAAAAGAGAATATGTATTTTTTTTTTTAGGCATGCGACACATTCTTAGACCATATCCTGGCTCTGCCATTAATTAGATGTGGCTTCTTAGCCTTTCTGCACCCCAGTTTCCAAACGATAAAATAGAGAAAAAAACATCTGATTCATAAAGCTAACATGTAGATTGAATAAAATTGCCGTTACCACCCTTCTGGAAACCTGTCTGACTCCTGAGTCACTTGTTTTTGTGGGCTACTTTATCCAACAAGGATGCTTTCCCAATAGCCACAGTGAGGTGACCCTCACAGTAGTGCACTTAACAAAGCTAGGCCAGTTACAAAGCCTCTTTAGAATTCAGAATCAGGAAAGAGCTAGTTGACTCTATCTTGGCTATGGCATGAACAAAGGAGATGTAAACCTCCAGCACACTAACAACCTAGCCCAAAAAAAGAAATGAAGATAACAATCATATGTACCATAGCATAACATCCAAAACTAAATGAATACAATAAAACACTTAGGGATAAATTTAATTAAAGAGCGTAAGGTCTGTACATTGCAAAGTATGAAACACCAATGACAGAAACTGAAGACGCAAACCTAAGGAATTAATACTGTTAGAATGTTAAATTGTTTGCTAAAGCAATCAAGAGATCCGGTGTAATCCCTTCTCAAAATTGAACATGGCAATTCAGACTGAAATGGAAAAATAAATCCTAATATGCTGATAAAGTCACAAAGGTCTGATTCACAAGGTCACCTGAATAAAAAGAGTTTTTCAGCGACACATTAGTCATTCAGTAGCATGTTATTTAACTTCATGGTGTTGTTAATTTCTTTTTTTTTTTTCTCCCTGTTTTTGATTTTGTTTGGTGGCTTTTCATTTAAGGGGATGTATAGTAATTATGTAATGGAGACTATCACATCTAGCAGCATGTAATTTAACTTCATGGCATTGTAAATTTCTATTTTTCTTCCTATTGTTGATTTTGTATTGTGGTTTTTCCTTTAAGGGGATGTATAGTAACTATGTAATGGAGACTATTATATCCAGACATGAGGATACAATGTAGTATGCATCTCTACTTCCAGACCAAAGATGGACCATCAATGAAACTCTTAACTATATCTTGACAATAGGATGCTGGACTCTTTGCCATTGTCCATGCACACAATGATGGACATATGACTGTGTATGACGAACTATACTACAGCAATCATATAGAGGAACTCATGAATGGGGGGGGGGGGAATTGGGGAGGGAATAAGGGAAATCCCAGGCCTATGAAACTGTATCATAAAATGATAAAAAAGGGAAAGGCGAGTAAGAATATAAATTTATAGTGACTGACATGGTGGTGTAACATACTGATTCTCAACCTGGCATCCCATGTCTACACCGGTTCATGTTTTGGGAGAATGGTTCGAGTCCTTAGAACCCTGAACCCGCATGGGAGACCTGGAGGAGATCCCTGGCTCTTGCCTTCAAACGGACCCAGCTCTGGCTTTTGCAGCCACTTGGGGAGCAAACCAGGAGATGGAAGATCTCTCTCTTTGTCTCTCCTTTTGTCTGTAATTATCTTTCAAAGTAAAATAAATAAATCTTTTTTGAAAAAAAAAGAACACAAATTTATAATATACCATAACAGAAAACAGTATGAAGTTCCCTCAAGAAAAATTTAATAAGAAACAGCATAGGAGTTATGAATCCTTCTGGAATATATGATCAAACGTTTCAAAGAGAAACCTGCACACCTGCACGCCAAAGAGATACCTACGCATAGCATCATGATCTGATCGTACCTAATGAATTAAGTTTCAGCAGTCATGCAAAACTCCATGCTTATTCACACAGCTGTTCTAGTTTAACGTACTAAAGTTCTGCATAATGCCTGAATTTAGTCTAGTGTGCACTCCAATGCAAAATATAAACATGGAGAACCCAACCAATGGAGTACATCACTTCCCTAATATATATAGAAAGTAATATATTAGAAACATAAATGACAATTTTAATAACACTACATTGATAGTTAATGTATTCTAGACTGAATAAAAGCTTCTTGTGATACTTGATCTCTCATGAATACAATTTTCTCGAAATAAGCTTCCAATTACTATTCATATTTGCATATAAATTAAACCTATAAACAATGATAATAACTCCAGCATCCATCTCAAAATTTTTAAAGTACAACTTAATTCTCAAATGCTAAATGAAGTATATCAAGGATTATAAAACCAGCTAGTAAAACACCAATAAAATTCATGAACACTAGAGGGTGCTCTAATTCAAAGTTCTTCAAATCTAGCCTTGATGCTCAAATTCTCTCCATGTCATAAAAAGACAATCCTTCACACAAGCACATTTTTCTTTATCAGAGATAATTTAAGAGTCCAAATGTTCCATTTTTCCAAAGCATTTGGAATTCCAATGAAATCATTTGCATTACATTTACTATTGTTTGTTGAGAAAACAAAAAATAAGTACAGAAGTACAAAGTCCTTGTAAAATGAAATCAGTACAATGCTGAGATAATGTATAAGCTTTTTCTAGGTTCACATTCAAGAAAATTATAAAATGAATTTGATAAAAGACATAGTAAACTTAAGGTATTATTGAACCATTTTATAGAGGTTATTTTAAATGAAATAAATTGTTATTTAAATGAAATAAATGTGATAGAATCCTATCAGCTGTCTCAAAATGGCTTCAAGTCAACAACTAAGAAATTAGAAAAGAAATGAATCTAAGGCTTTTAATAAAAAGTATTATCAGAACTTAATCTGAAAAGAAGTATTTTGTGCCATAGTTACATTTGATTTTGTCAATATTCATGAGTTCACTTATAAATCTCTGAAATTTTTCATTTATATGTTGCCATTTGGTGAATCAAAAATTTGTCTAGGGTACAAGTTGCCAAGAGATACTATTACTGAATCATAAATAATAAACTTAATGACTAGCAAATTATATTATTTGTATTTCAAGACAATCCCTATTAAATAAGGCATTAATTAATGCTAACATTTTGCCTCTAAAAATGACCACAGAGGAAAAAGCTGAAAATTAGAAGTATTTCTAAAATTCACATACCTGAAGTCAGGCAACCTTGTGAAGCACGCACACTCACTGCTTACTCATATATCACATTTCTCCCAGAGGGGAATTCCTGGCTTGCCCTGTCGCTTATTAAACTTTCCAATGCATTAGGAAGAGTCCCCACAGCAAAGATGGCTCTGAAACAATCAGCTATCAGAAAAGTTTTAGACTTTACTGATTAGTCTCAAACTATACTACCAATATTGTATTTTGGGGTTACACCATAACCCTAAAAATTATTAGTTTCCCATTACATTGATAACTTTTGCCCATGAACCAAAAAAGCACATGGCCTACATAAGGTGAAGTAAGAACGTGTAATTTTACTTACAAGCACCAACTTGCATCTTCTAATACAACACTTCCTAAATATTTACTAATTGTACGACTATAACATTTTGCACATCCAGATGTTTAAGCTCATTACCTTCTATCCATGATTTCTGTATCCGGCTGTAGACTAACAGTCTCTGTTGTAATCTCCACTTTCCGCACACTTCCAAAGAAATCCGTTATCAGGACATTTTTAGGATCCCTTTGAAAAAGGTCAATGCGATGCCCAGGAGTAGAAACACACAGACTCTTGGGACATACCTGAAACTAAGTATATATAATATTTTTAAATAGAAAAAACCACAAATCCACACATACCTATATATATATGTTTTATTAAGCACAATGCCACATGCAAGTAGCTATAATGTTGTATTTTTAAAGCTCTCCCAACCTAAAGAAGCTACTACTTGTAAAGCTAGCAGTTTTACACATACTGCAATGCTGGATAGTCTAAGAAGCCTGCACAAACATTATAACAGTGACCAACACAAAAGATAGAGGAAAAAATATTCACTTTTTGAGTCAAATATTACAAAGTGTATTCTGAACCCAATGAGACCTCAATTTCAACACTGTGGCAACAAAAATTGTTTTTTCCTAAACTTATTCCATGTCAGTAGAGCATCTTACTAGGATGGTTTTCAACCATTTTGTACTCCGGATCCTAATTCTAACTTTAAAGTGATATAATATTTTACAAGATAGCCAAATATGTGAAAATAAACAAATGAAAGATTAGACGCTCCTGGACTGCAGGAAATGGAAGCACAGCCTCCCCACACCACCTTCCCCTTGCTCTTTGCTGTGTACCTGCACACCATCTGATGTCAGTGCTTCTAGTTTATCTGTCATGAAGATAAACTCAAGACACCTTCATCAAAATCCTGATGCTCCAAAGAACATAGTATGAAAATCACTTCATTGCTATACAGATGTCATAACAACTGTGGTGTCAACCTAACTCCTGATACTCCACATCAGAGAATTAATAGACACATATTCATTCAATAAGCAAAGCACAAAAATCACGTTACACATAGGGCAGATCCTCCATAGAGAATGTAACTTCAGAAAACTTCATTTATTTAGAGAATGAATAGAAAAGCATGGGAGAGGATGTTTAGCACAATGGTTAAGTTGCTGCTTGGGAGGCCTGTGTCCCAGTTCAAAATGCCTGGCTTGAGCCCCAGCTCTTGCACCGTAGATGCAGCTTCCTCTTAATGCGCACTCTGGGAGGCAGCAGTTGATGGCTCAAGTACTTGTGTCCCTATGGCCTCCATACAAGACCTGCAGGCAGCTTCAGCCTGGCCCAGGCTTGGTGGCCATTTGGTGCGTGAATCAGCACAAGATGTATTCTCTTTCTCTTCTCTCTCTCTCTCTCTCTCTCTCTCTCTCTCTCTCTCCCTGCCTCCCTGCCTCCACCTCTCAAATAAAGTGAAATCTGTGTGTCGGGATCGGGGGTGGTTAGCTATTATTTGGAAGGAAAGTAGAATTTAAGTTAGAGTAATACAAACATTTCTAATACAGGAAGAGCTGCAGAGAGGTGCAGAGAAAATGACCTAGCTTAGCTGAAGTATGGCATAAAGAAAACACGGGCCTGCCAACAAGGGCCAAGACCCACGGCTCCAACTCACCTGTGTCAACAAGACCAGGTGCATTAGGGATTTACCAACATGGAGAGAGGGAGGGGGAAGGGCACACAGTCGTGATCTATAGAATACCTAAGCACCGTGCTAAACAGTTTGTCCATGCTCTCCCTTAAATGTACTAATAACTCAATAGTGTATAAAAGCTACAACTCTACTTCAAACTAAGGATTAAAAGACTAAGTAATTTGGGCCTGGCACAGTAGCCTAGAGGCTAAAGTCCTTATCGTGCACCTCCCCGAACTCCATATGGTTGCCGGTTCTAATCCCGGCAGCTCCACTTCCCATCCAGCTTCCTGCTTGTGGCCTGGGAAAACAGTCGAGGACGGCCCAAAGCCTTGGGACCCTGCACCCACTTGGGAGACACGGAAGAGCTCTTGGCTCCCAGCTTCGGCTCAGCATAGCATCAGCCGTTGTGCTCACTTGGGGAGTGAATCATTGGACAGAAGATCTTCCTCTCTGTCTTTCCTCCTCTATATATATCTGACTTCCCAATAAAAATAAAACAAATCCAAAAAAAAAAAAAAAAAGACTAAGTAATTTGCCCAATGTTATTGCCGTTCCAGTTCAAGAAAGCAGTTGTGTACAATGACCACAAAGAGAACAAGGTACAGATTAAGAAACAAAGACGGGGTGGGTGGACAAGGATGGATGAAGCTCAAAAACATAAAATGACGGGAAGCACACAACAGATAGAAGGTTGAAGAAGCAATGCAAAAGAAAATGCACAGAGACAAGATTCTTGCTGCGAAAATAAGCAAACTTCCATTTATTATGAAATCATTCTTTGAAGATTTTATCCAATGATATAATTGAAATGGTTACTATTTCAATCTGATTTCCTTAGCTTCAACAACACAACGATCCACAGGCCTGACAATATTCACTTTAATTTGCAATAACTTTCTTCTCTCACACAATCTCCCCATTCTAGCCAGGCTATACGTTTATTACAAAAGTCAAAATCCCCGACTAGTCTAATTTCCATGTATACACTCATATTCCATTTCCCTGTAGCATAGCATATTTGCTTAAACTGGAAAAATCACTTCTTCCCGGAAAAAAATTTAATCATTAATCTCACCATACTTAAAGGAATATACAAATATACATTACCATTTGTTTGTATTCATTCAGTAAACACTGAATGAACATGACAAAACAGAATATGCTACGCTTAAGTTTTATGAATTCTAAGATACATAAAGCACAGTGCTTATGCTTCTTATTCAAGAAGCTCAAAGCTCAATGAACATTACGAATACAATTACAGTACAATATTGAACATATAACGATAGTATATGATAGAAGTCAAAATTGAACATAAAAACAGGAACTTTGTAGGGTTCAGAAACTTTGTATTTATTAACACGCTTTAGCAGTGAGCTTTTAACTGTTAACAATGAACTCCACATTTTTGAGGGGCTAAGCACTATGTTTTATAATTTTGTTGCTTCTAAAGCATCCAATATAGTACTCTGAATACAGCTGACACTCAGACAACTTCATAACCCACATGGAATCCAATATAAATAGGTGTCTCTATACAAATGACTTAGAAATATGTTATCATTATGGCTCTGTGAGAAAATGGGTCATTGAATAAGATTAAAATGGTAATTACATGTTTAAAATGAACATGGTATTTGTGAGAAATGTTCTTTAAAAACTAAATAGTGGGATCAGGCCTTCTAGCCCAGCAGTCAAGATATTTTTATCTCATTGGAGAGTGCCTTGTTTAGCTGGCTCAGGACCCCAGCATCAATTCAGACCCCTGGGAGGCAATGGTGATGGCTCCTGACAACCCTATGTGACCTGCAGCCTGCGTTAGCAGGAGAAGAATGTGAAAGTCATCAACATATAGTGATTATCCTACAAGTTTCTTCCTTCCTTCCTTCCTTCCTTCCTTCCTTCCTTCTCTCTCTCTTTCTCTCTCTCTCTCTCTCTCTTGCTCTCTTTTTAACAGAAAGGGCGATTAAATTTACAGAGAGGAGAGACAGATCTTCCAACCCCTGGTTCACTTTCCAAACGGCTGCAACAGCCCAGAGCTAAACCAATCCAAAGCAAGGAGCCTGGAGCTTCCTCTGGGTTTCCCACATGAGAGTTCCAAGGCTTTGGGCAATCATTTAGTGCTTTCCCAGGCCACAAGCAGGAGAGCTGGATGGGAAATGGAGCAGCCAGGACATGAACCAGTGCCCATGAGGGATTCTGGTGTGTGCAAGGAGAGCATTTAGCCACTAAGCCATCATGCTGGGCCTCAAGTATTGTATATCATCTAAGAATAACTTCAAAGTACATTTAATTAATAGACATTTTGGCACAGACTAGTCTGGAAAACTTTTTGAACTAAATTCAATATGTCAAGTTAAATGACTATACTAGAAGTAGTAAGGCACACAGAAATATGTAAGACCTGGCCTTTCTTTCCCAGAAGTTTTCCATTAAGTGAAAAAAGCAATTAGGTTCAAAAGGTGGGTATTAAGAAAAGCACATTTCTTCTAGAGCGAAAATCAAAAATAGATGAAAACAGGAGAACATCTCAGAAATAACAAGCTAACCTGACTACAGCTTTAGGCTTCTGCAGTAAAGATAGTGGTGCCAGCACCACAGTATGTTTTAAACAACTGAAAAGGCCACAAGTCATCATCTAAAACAGTAGTCCATTGGTGGTGGAGAATAGCAGACTCTACTTTCCACATTAAAATTAGCCTATACATACGCTGTACTCAAATCAAATGAATACTTACGAGGTCATTCATATTAGTTTGACTAGCTGGATTTATTCCTTCCAAAAATTCCAACACATAAAATGTGTATCTGTCCATAAGATGGACTCCAATTGCAGGATCAGGTTGATGCTACGAAAAGAAAAGAATATGCGTTATATATATTTACAAATATATATGTGTGTATGTGTGTGTATGTACATGTACTTGTGTCTTTCGAAAAAATATTGACATGTAATAAAAAAGCCTTATAATATTGAAAAGTCCATGAATGATAAGTAGTAAAAACCTTCAGAAAGTATGTAAATGACTTCACACATAGTTACAAATTCCAAAGACACTACAGTTCACAAAATGGGGAAAATGCACCTACCGAGAGTGAATCTTCTCCCACTTGGCTACTAGCTAGAGCCATTATGTTAGGAGAATAAAATCGCTCATACATGGATGCTCCTTGACAAGTGTCAATAATAAACAGTAGCTCATTGTAGCTGTAAAGAGAAGTGATGACATATTTGACATGAATTATTCTGTTCACCATGTACTAATATTTCTATAATACTTCCTAAGATGTCAAAATAATATCTTAATCATCTTTATAGCTAACAATTTGGAGTATTTTCACTACAGTTTCCAACAAAAATTTGGCACTAAAAAAACTAATGGTAAGCGTTGTCAACAGGAAGAAGTTGTCTCAACTTTTTTCCTCTCTTTTTGTACCAAAAGACCCAAAGCCTGAACAGTCAACTCAACAAATACTTATTTGGTACTTATGTTGTCTTAGAAACTGAGCTAGGTTCAGAAAAACACATATGAATTAGTCACCATACTTATGTAAAAATATATCTAGCATGCAAATAAAAGTATAACCAAATTGGAATGCTATAAGTATTATAAATTTATCCTGAAAGACTACAATGTGCCTGACACAATGGTGTCTCTGCCCTCTTGCAGCTTAGCAACTAAAAAACCAAAGTGCTTTATGAGTACACAGAAAGAAATCTATGGCACTAGACAGAAAGCAGGCCAAAGGAAGGTGACAGCTCACAGAGACAAAGGGAAAGCAATTCCAGCAGAGGAAAAAGTGCCTACTGTGGAAAAACATGAACGTTTGGGAAAAGGAAAACATTTAGACCACAGGTGCACAAATTCAATTAAATAGATTTCAGAAAGGTAGAGCAAGGTCAATTTATAAAAAAAAAAATCCTATTTGAAATCTAGATCTAAGTAAGAGAAAAACATAATCAGATTTCTATTTTACAATAAGTATGTTAGCTGGTAGAAGTAGGGTGATGATAAACATTCCGGGAGGCGTTTTTCAGATTCTGGGCCTTAAGTAAACAGCTAGCAATGTGCCCAGAAAGGGCAACAATATCTGAGAGAGCGACAGAAGACACAATTAACATGACACATTTGTGCAGATACAAAATGCATGGAGGCCCTAAAGAATTAGAAACATTTAAAGCCATACAATGCAGGGGCCAGTGTTGCAGCTTTGCAAGGTAAGCAGCTGCCTGGGATACCAGCATCCCACACTAGAGTGCTGGTTCCAATCCTGGCTACTCTGCTTTAGATCAAACTTGTAGTCAATGTGCCTGGGAACACAGAGAGGTCCAGCTTAAGCACCTGGAGCCTTGCCACTCGTAGGGCGACTCAGATGAAGTCTGTGGCTCCTGATATCAGCCTGTCCAGGACTTGCAAGTTGCAGCCACTTGGGGAATAAATCACTAAAATAAATGTGCGTGTGTGTGTGTGTGCGCGCGCACACACCTGCCTCTCAATTAAGATAAATACATAAATTCTTAAAAAAAAATAAAGAAAGTTCTAGTGTGGAAAATAATAAATAAATAAATAGATAAAGTTCTAAAAGGCAATCATAACAAAATTAAGAGTACAAACTCTAGGAACAGACCACGAGGGTATGAATACCAGCTGGAGCAAATTACTTAATTTATCTGTACTTTGACTTATTCATTATTAAAAAAAATAATAATAACATCTGTATGATACGGCTGCTCTTCAAATTAAACCATACAGTACAAATAAACAACAGCAGAGAGTACCTAGTATGCATTCAGTAAAAGTAAGCTATAACTCAGATGTAACCAGCATCTGGAACAGCCTCCCCCTCAACACTTCCACACAGTCCTCCTGATGCTTCTATTCCAACGTTTATATTTATTTGGTAGCAGAGCTGTATATATATTTCAATTTACACTGCATTTTAAAGACTTCAAAGACAGAATAAACATGATATTCCCCTTGGTGCCCTATGTGCAGAAAGAATTCCATAACTATTAATCAAAAGTATTCAGGTTAATAGCAGTTCCATTGCTTCTTTAAATTCACCTAATTTCTAATATACAACAACTTTCCATTATAGGGGTGCTTACTAAGGATTATGATGAATATATCAACTTCAGTATGAGTTAAGCTACAAATCTTACTCTCATTATAATTTTAGCAAATTTCCCCCAAAGAATAATTAGTACAATGCTGCTGCAGAGGTGATCAGAGCATGTGCTAGAAAGTAAAAATAGATGCAGGCTGAAAACCAACTGGATGTTCAGAACCTCCATAAACAACAGAGAATTTGGTTGAGGAACTTCCAAAAGAAGGATACGAAATAACGAGATATGAAAACTTAAATGGTTTACTATAAGGTTATGTAATTAATCTGAAACTTTTTCTCTTTAAACATTTCAATCAAGTAGAAACAAGAAATAATAAAGGGTGGGAGAACTGACTACAATGAGTTAAAATCTTATACAACAAGAGCTACAAATCAACCAACAAGAAAATAGATGACAAAAAAGGCATTTTTTAATTACCGTCTTTTCTGCCACATTTGTTCAAAAGCATCTGCAAGTTCTATGTTTGTAATTTCTTCAGAATCTTGAAATTTCAAAAACCCATTTCCACCATGTCCTTATAAAAAGAATCAAAGAAATTAACCAGGTACTTTTTCTAAAATGTGCGCTGCATACTCTCAGATACAAATATGTACTTCATCTATTGCAATATCTAATATAATTTATTTCACACACTAAAATACCTATTGTGAAAAAATAACTTCCTATTATACTAATTAAAAAGAGAACAGGTTGTGTAAAATTAAAAAAAAGAAAAGTTTCCTATCATTTTATTCCAGAAATTCACACGTACACACTTCCATTAGATCCATTATATCAGAAACTTAGTTCATTCACAAAAACGTTTGAATACTAAAAAAGCTTTTTTGTAAGAAAGAAGATGAAGATGCGAGTCCGTCCCACGGACAGCTAGTAGTCTCTGTGTATAATGTGATCATTATCACTGCTAGGAAGTACTGTTCTCCCCTAAGCATTGATGCCATTACTACCACTGACCACAGCCCCAGGAGTTAGGAGACTACCATTTACGCATGCATGACAGAGCCAGTCTGGGACTTCCTGTGTTACAGTAGACCAATAATGATTAGACAGCTTCATTTCCTGAGTCAGGAAGTGAGAAAGCAATCAGTAAGATCACCATCAGCTTAGGTTCACAGCTCCTCTGTGCATTTTTTTTAATTTTAAGATTTATTTATTTACTTAAAGGCAGAATTAAAAGGAGGAGGTAGGGCGAAGAAGCAGAGAGAATTTCCATCTGTTGACTCATATCCCAAACAGCTTGGTCTGAAGCTAGACAGGAGCTTCACCTAGGTCTCCCACATAATAGCAGGGTTCCATGAACTTGGACCATTTTAACTGCTTTCCTAGGCCATCAACAGGGATCTGGATTGAAATTAGAGTATCCAGGACTTGAACCAGCACCTCTCTGGGGTGCCAGCACCACAGACAACAGCAGTGCCATGGAGCTAGCCCCAGTGTAAAATTTTAAAAGGTATCAGCCACAGGGTATCAAAGTTGGAAAAGTTGTCTATTCCAAAATTCATCACCCTGTGACCTCACAAGCAGTTAGTGATTCCACTTGGGTCAAAGAAACGCTCCTTTCCCTACCAGATGCAACCTGCTAGGTTACAAAAGAAACTTCTCATCCAAAACAGGCAGCCAGGGTCCAGGTCTCAAGGCTTTGAGCCAGCTTTCGCATGCCACAGGCAAGGAACTGAATGGGAAGTGGGGCAGCCAGGACATGAACTGGCACACATGGGATCCTAGCAAATATAATGCAGGGATTTGGTCACTAGGCTATTGTACCAGGCCACCGTGAACTTTTTGGTAATGAAAAGATGAAAAGCATATAATCAATGACACCTTAGAATTCAAAATACAGTGAAGGCACAAAATACATAAAAACAAGAAAGTTAACTGAAATGCTATGATACAATGAAGGATTAGTAGGACAATGCAAAGAGGACAATCTACACAAATGAAAACAACAAGAAGTGTCTTTGGGAGGGCAATTATAAAAACTATTATCTTTGGGCCCAGCGCGGTGGCACAGTGGTTAAGGTCCTCGCCTTGAACGCCCGGGATCCCATATGGGCGCCGGTTCTATCCCAGCGGCCCTGCTTCCCTTCCAGCTCCCTGCCTGTGGCCCTGGAAAGCAGTCGAGGATGGCCCAAAGCTTTGGGACCCTGCACCCACGTGGGAGACCCAGAAGAGGCTCCTGGCTTCGGACAGGCATAGCATCGGCCCGTTGCGCTCACTTGGGGAATGAATCATTGGATAGAAGATCTTCCTCTCTGTCTCTGCTCTCTGTATATCCGCCTTTCCAATAAAAAAATAATAAAAATAAATCTTTATTAAAAAAAAACTATTATCTTTGCTAGAATACTTCTAAAGGAGAACAAAGGAGTGATTAATTACACTGGGACAACAGTATAAATTGGGAGTATCCAGGTAATTAGAGAACAAGTCACCCTAGATTAAGATAAGGAGGAACCAATCAGACAGGCAAAGAGAACTGCGGGGACAACATTAAGAAAAAGGCAGTTATTCAAGTAAATGTTTGGAGAACAGGATAGTCATGTGCTTGAACGGGAATGAATAAAAGTATCAGAACTAAAACTAAAGTTAAACAATGATATAATGAAATCAACTCAACTAATACTATTTTCAAATACCATTTTTTTGTAGTACTATATCATGGAAAAACAGAACATGACAAAATATTGTCATTGAAAATAACGCATGTAAGTTGCCAAGTACATTTGTTTTTTGGAAAGGACTTCGATATATTCCACTATGAAAGCACTAAGGTCCTAAAGTTACCTGTCATATATATAAGAATATTGCTTCTGTCATCCGACAGCAGACGTTTTGACCGAGGAGTGCTAGGTGGGATCCTTCCAGTTAACACCCGTAGAAAATTCTCCACAGTTACCTGGTGGGAAAACGAGGAATCACAAAGGAAACTTGGCACTTTTTTTTTTTAATTTCAAAAACATTCCTTCTGAGGCTGAGGCAGCAGCTTAAGATGCTATGTGCAGTTTTATAGGATACCAATTCAAGTCTCAGATTCAATTCAAGTCTCTGCTTCCAATCCAGTTCCCTAGTAATGCCTCTGGGAAAGCAGTGAAAAATGGCCCAAGTATAGCTTGAGCCCCCACCACCCACAAAGGTCACCCAGAGGAAGTTCCTGGTGCCAGGATGCAGGCTGGCCCAGACCTGGCAAGTGTCACTATTTGGGAAGTGAACCAGTGAATGAAAGGTAACTCTCTGGCTTGCTGTCACTCTTGCTCTCGCATTCTCCCATCCTCTATCAACCTCTCTCTCAGTGTAACTCTTTCAAATAAATAAGTCGTTTTTTTTAAAAAAAAAAATTCTCCTTTCTTTGCATTATTCAACCTAAACTGAAACACAAAGAGACATGACAGGTAGAAAGATCTTTCATCTACTCCCCAAGTGCTGGAAACATCCAAAGCAGACCCCAGTTCAAGCTGGGAGCCCAGAACTCCAGCTCCCTTGTAGTTGGCAGGGATTCAAACACTTAAAAAAAATCATCAGTTGCCTCTCGGGGTGTGCACTGGTCAGAAACTGAAATCAAAACCACATTCACAACTAAAACGTAGACACTGCAGTATGGGATCCAAGCATCCCAAAGCACAGAGACCCCAGGAACAGCAACGTCACAATCACTGCCCACAACAAGTAAGAATCTGAACATAAATTCAGCTACATGTTTACAAATTTTCTGTGGAATTATTTGGTCCTTATAAATTAACTATGAAAGAAAAAAAATTTCATAAATAATATTCCAGGATTACGTATCTTTATCTTTTAATGCATTGTATCACTTGGTATCTTTAACATGCGATGAATGTATAACACTTCAAGTCAGATTTACCAGTCCTTGAATGCACTGTTAAAGTCATGAAGAGTAAAATGCTAATTTTAAGTGAACAGCCAAGTCATAAACTACACATAGCTAAATTTTAAAAATAGAAAAGATGAGGACCCAGCACAATAGCCTAGTGGCTAAAGTCCTTGCCTTGCACACACTGGGATCCCATACAGGTGTCGGTTTTTGTGTTCAGGCTATCCCGCTTCCCATCCAGCTCCCTGTCTGTGGCCTGGGAAAGCAGCAGAGGATGGCCCAAAGTCTTGGGGACCCTGCATCCAGAAGAAACTCCTGGCTCCTGGAACGGGACTAGCTCAGCTCCAGCTGTAGCAGCCAGTTGGTGAGTGGCCAGCAGATCTTTCTTTCTGACTCTCCTGTCAGTAAAATCTGACTTACAAAAAAAAAAAAAAACCAAAGTAGAAAACCTAGCCAGTTTTCTTGTTTAACTTTTAAGTAAATGTGTGTGTCCATGTATGTAGGTAAGCTGTTGAATTGACATTCTTCCATAAAATAGCAAAAGGCCAATTGTTTTAATAGGCCTCTTGTTGACTAGCAATAAAGAAAAAGGAAATTTTGGGTTATTTTTTAATTTTAAGATAACCATATAAAGAAACAAGTAAATACCCATATATAATTAATCTATTTAAATTTTTAAGTGCGTATATTAGGCCACAGGTACTTGCCAAGTACAAAATACTAAGAAGCCTATAAAGTCAGAGGAAACTGTGCGTTGCTCTTGGTGGACACTGTAAACAGAGAAGGATTATCTGGCAATCCTGTATATTTTAAACATAGTTACAATTGTTAAATAAAGTTTCATGGGGAGAAAATGCAGCACACTGCCATTTTGTTAACTCACATTTTTGTTTTTAATCACATACACAGAGAGGTAACATTAGAAGAATATTAAAGAGAGTCATCACTATTGTTAGCCATCAAAACTTGCCACAACTTACTCACTCAAAAAGCTAAATTTAAAAATTTAGATCAAACATAAAAACAAGCATTCTATTAACCATAAAAGAAAGTTCTCATATGAAACCTCATCAAAATAATATAGGAGCAAATATAAAAGGCTTCTGTCTTAGACACCTACATGAAATGTTCGTACTTCCATAGTTGTATTCATGTACTGCTTCTTTAATAAGAACTCCAGACATCGAGGGTCGGTAACCACTAAGTTTCAAGAAAAGACAATTCCTTTTTGGAAGCTTGGGAGATTTTATCTTCTTTCCCCATGATTGCATTTACTCATATAAAGAGAACTGACCTCATGCAGTTTACAGATTCAATTCTAAGAATATAACAAGATTTCCTTCCCACTTTCCCTCCCTCCTTTGTATCTCTTTTTATTTCTTTTTTGACGTTTTGCAAAAACATAAATGAAGTGTCCAAGAAGAAAACAGTAGAAGAGCCTCTGTTCGCAGGAAGAGTGATAAGTGATACTCAAATCACAAGATGTCAATTTCACTCACATATATTGCTGGTTATTTGGCAATCTGTATATTAGCTACTACAATCAGAGGAAACATGTGATGTTAGTCTTTTGTAGTCTGGCTTATTTCACTCAGCATAATGGTCTCTATTTGCAACCATCTTGCTACAAGGGACAGGATTTCATTTTGCTGACAGCTGAGTGGCTTTCTATCTTGTAACATATGCCACATTTTCTTTCATCCAATCATAAGTTAACAGATATATGGGTGATTCTATCTTAGTTACCGTGAACTAAGCTGCTACAAACATTTGTTAACGTCCTTTTCCATGGGTATTTTCCCAGGAGCAGGACGCCTGGGTCATATGTTAGCTATAAAACAATTTCATATTACCACTGTTTTGGAGTTTAACAGTAACAATATTTTTTGAATGTCACTAAATTTTAAAATTTACCTCATAGCTTCTATAGTCCACTTCCACATCATCTCCATACACATTTAGTTCCATATTCTTGTGACTAAACACTGTAGCAGGTTTGGGATTTCTAGGGTTGCAAGCCATATCGTCCGCAAGCATCAGGACAATGTGACTAAGAGAAAAAAATTCCAGGAAATACAGTATTTAAGCAAAACCAAAAAGTCGAGCTAAAGTATAATTAAAGTTAAGCACATTTTAATTATTTTCATATCATTATGAAGTATATGCTTTAAAGTATATAAATTAAAACAACACGACATGAACTTTACCACAGACTGAAGTTCCTACAAATAGTTTATGCCATATGACAAAAGAAATTAAAGATACAAATCTGTCTTCCCTGAACATTGAAAAAAAAATTTTTAACCATATTTTACACTCTCAAGTCCTGCAGAGTCCACATTAACCAAAACATTCCAAAGAACTCCGAATGCTTAAGTATGAAAACATGTCATCTACCAGCAACTGCAAGCAGTAAGGCTCTGGGACAACACCCACAACCCCCACATTGCTCAAGTCCCCACATCTCTTCCCATCAGCCACCACCACCTCTTGACTGATGCTCTTTTCTTCCCTTTATTGTTTCCACACTCACCTCCATTCTCCTTAGAGTCCCAAAATGATCTTCCATTGGGGAATCAAATCATTATATACTCAAAATCTTCCAAGAACTCCCATTATAATTAGTGTAAAAACCATTCAAAAGAATCTACACTGTCTAAAAGACTCATTCAATCTGGTATCTCTCCAACCTCACTGCTACCATCCGTACACAGTGATTGTTCCATATGGGCCCTTCTGTTCCAGAATATGCAAACCCTCAGGGACTGCTGACCAAATCTAGACACCTTTGCTGGGGTCCTCTCTTTCACGTGTTTTATTCTCTAGGGGACATTTGGGAATGTGAAACTATGATTTCTCACCATCAAAATGCAATTTCCATAAGGACAGAGACTTTACCTGTCCTACTCACTACTCAAACTTCACAACTGATCCGGTATACCAGAGGTATTCAATACCTAAAATTTAAAGTGAATGAAGCATTTTCATTTCTTTAAGAGGAAACTACAAAATATCTCTTTAATAATTCTCATCTTGATCCTTTCATTAAAACCACTGCACATGAATTAAGTTCTTTTTCTACCATATTTTTTAGCATAACATCAGAGACAAAAATCCCAAACACAAGAGAAAAATTAATGTGGTATACATAATTGCTTTGGTAGCAGATAGCAAGAAGAAAATGTTCTATTGCATATGGTCCAAATACATTAAAGTTCAAAACTGAAACATTGTGATTTTTCTTGAAAACTGGCTAGATTTCTATCCTGAAAGCATTCCAACTCTTCTACATTCAAAGATCAGATCTTCAGCTGTTACTGATTCATACTCACAAGACGGTGAAATTTATTCCTCTTACAACGGAAATCACATTTTCTCTTTTTTTTTATAACTTGAGATCATTCATTTGCATTAAAATGCTATCAATCACATATTTTAGTGTCAAAACTGCCCCAGCTGTATGCAACTGTCTAGAGTGCCCTCTGCCTAGGCCTATGATACACTCCCAGGAGAAAAGCAGCCAATAGCTGGTTGACATTCTAGGCCTGCTTTATGCTAACTTCGTGTTAACTATACCAGTGTGCCAGCACAGTTGTGTATTTTTTTAACATGAAATCTGAAACTGGGAGGTAAGGGAGTATGAAGGGCCACCACCAGCCTGTCAGAGTCCACAGGCCAGGCACAGACCACTGAGGGCTCTTGCCGCAGGCAGAGTTGCAGCCACAGGCCTCCTCAGGTCAGGCTGCTATACCCATCAGCACATGTGAGAGTCAAGGCTGGGAGCAGGCCACAAGCAGGAGGTCATCAGGAAATAACTACAGAAGATGTGATGAATCTGTACCCTTCAGTAACCCTTAAACTGAGAGTCCAAAATCTCTTCAGCCGGATGAAATGTGACTCCGTTGTAGAGGAAAGAAGAATTCTTAATTAGGGACTAGTGTTAAATTATCTCTATAATGGTATTTATACATACATACACATATATATGCAAATAAACTACTTAAGTCTATAGTTATTAAAAAGCTATAGAATATATGACTCCAAATTAAATTCTAACAAAATTACCAAAAAAAAAATAAGTAAAAATACTAAGCCCATTCAAAAAAATGTCAATACTTTGATAAAACTAAATGACCTGGCCTTGCTGCGTGACCTGGCAGCTAGTCCTTGCCTCAAACACTCCAGGATCCCATATGGGCGCTGGCTCTAATCCTGGCAGCTCCACTTCCCATCCAGCTCCCTGCTTGTGGCCTGGGAAAGCAGTTGAGGACAGCCCAAAGCCTTGGAACCCTACACCCCATGGGAGACCTGGAAGAAGCTCCTAGTTCTCGGCTTCGGATCGGTGCAGCACCGGCTGTTGCGCTCACTTGGGGAGTGAACCATCGGACGGAAGATCTTCCTCTCTGTCTCTCCTCTTCTCTGTATATCTGACTTTCTAATAAAAAAAAAAAATGACTGCTCTTATGTTTAACACACAGTTTCAGTTCTGAAATTTATTTTACTTCTGTATTTCAACATTCACACTACAAATAAAATTCAGTAATATAGAAAAATATTCATAAAAGCATGTTAAGCAATTGCAATTCATAGCTTCCAGCTGCTGTTTAGTATTTGGAGAAATTAAAACTTATATTTAAGTATGTTTCACCAATAAAATAAATGTTTTTTGAAAGACAATCATTATGAGAAGATCTTATTTGGTGACTCCTTAAAGTGTGTTTTACAGGTTAGCATCACAAAAGCTATTTAAATCTGATCTGAATGAATATTAAATTAATCTCTGCTGAAATCAAGTATGAAAAAATCTATACTGAAGCCATGTTAGTACACTCACATAAGTAATAATAAGTTACTCTGTATCTTAGTAAATTAAGACAACAACCCTAACCTAAACACATCTCACAGAGGCAAGAAAATTATATTCTTACAGTTTGGCAAGTCTATTTACCATGTGTGATGATTCAACTCTCACACTTCATTCTCTTTAAATATATATACTTCATACTTTAAATATACATATATACACATACTATACAAATATATATAAATACATATATACTCATACTAGTGAAGCATAACTTTTTAGATAAAACACTTTTCTAGTTGGTAATATTCCTCTTCAGATTTTGGTAATGGATTGAAACAATATTCTTGACCATTATATTATTGACCATTTTAGGATTATGAACAAAATGACATTTTAATATTTTTCAAAATAGAATTAAGTCATGAAACCCAATCAGACAAACATCTGAGAAAAAGAATTATCTAAACAAATGTCTGCCAGACTGAGGAGCAGTTTCCTGCGACAGGGCTGCCAGGCCATCCTTTACCTACGTCCCTAAAACACTTCCTTAACACAAAATAACTAAATCAACAAAATATCTAAAATAGGTGTAAAATCTTCATGTTCACTGACCACTGCAGTGCAGGATTTTAAAATATGTAACTTTTCACTTAGACTGGCACAATACAATAGAATTCTCTTTCACTTACTAAAATTTAAATAAATGAAGTACTATAGCGGTCAAAATGTTCTAGGACTGTTTCCTTACATATTCTAGAGCCATGCTACTACAAATCATATAATAACTATCATAGAACATGGTTACCTACTATAGTGAGGTTCATAAGACTTATCTTTTTTTTAATTGTATAAATTTTATTTTTGCTAAGTTTTTCATATTTGATTAGGGTGCAAAGGGTCAAGGGCTACAGGAAAGTGTATGACAGCATTGTTTTCACATTCTCTTTTCTTTCTGTATCTGGGGGAAGGAGCGGGATAAGGGGAGAAGCCACACCCAGCCTCCCAACCATCCCAGGGTCCCCAATGGGGGGGGATGCTCCAAGGATCCCGCTCAAATGGTTTTTTTTTTTTTTTTTTTAAAGATTTATTTTTATTATTTTTTCATTGGAAAGGCGGATACACAGAGAGGAGAGACAGAGAGGAAGATCTTCCGTCCGATGATTCACTCCCCAAGTGAGCGCAACGGGCCGATACTATGCCGATCCGAAGCCAGGAGCCTCTTCCGGGTCTCCCACGCGGGTGCAGGGTCCCAAAGCTTTGGGCTGTCCTCGACTGCCTTCCCAGGCCACAGGCAGGGAGCTGGAAGGGAAGCGGGGCTGCCGGGATTAGAACCGGCGCCCATATGGGATCCCGGGCGTGCAAGGTGAGGACCTTTAACCACTTGCGCCACCGCGCCGGGCCCGTCAAATGGTTTTAATAGTTCAACAGTTTTGTATTGCCTCCAATCTTGCTACTCCAATCACAGTGAAATCTCTCCAGACTCCACTGGCTGGCATAGCCTCAGTAACATCAACATCCCCAACTAGAATAGCTAAAAATAAAGCAACAGAATATATGACAATCTCATAGATTTTCTCATTATTATTACAGATATCTTCGAAGTTTTCTTACAGCTCTGGGTTTCTGACTCATTCATGTCACTTTCCTCCCCCATCACCACATAAACCATTTAAGATACCTGCTGATATTGCTTCTGTACAATATAATGACAGGCACATGAAACTCAGCAAATTAAGTTAATCAACAATCTGATGCTACAGTAGCAGACTTTTAGAAATGTTTTCTTCCTATAGGTCTTAAGGTCTCTCCAACTCTCACTACCAATGCAGTGAAACTAACAGTAACAAATGTGCTGACCACCAATGTCGGCCCATCAGATTTTCTGATTTACTTACATTCCTATACTATATGATGCCAGGTATTTTATACTTAACCTTACTAGGAATAAAAATTTGAACACTATACTTCACAGACGAAGAGTGAGCAGCACCAGGCATGTTATTATACCGCCAAATAATACAGTTTACTGTTACAGGCTTACATGTTTATAGCTGCACAGGATTTTGTGTAACAAGAAAATAACTAATGTGTTTCTCTCGAGTCCTGTATTACTAGAAATAAGCTAATATAGGCAAAAACTCTTCTTTCTATAAATTCTGTACAATCATCTCTATTTCACAGTTAAACTGAAGCACTCGGAGGAGCAGTGTGTTCAGATTATACAACCATGTTAGCAGAGTTTT